CCGAGGAATTTAAGAGGTAGATCTGTCATATCTGCTTCTGTGGGCCATTCTGCAACGCCAAGGGTTGCAGCGCCCTACTAAGAGATCGGAAAGGATACTTCATTTTGTGACATGACACCGATCATACAATCAGAATACATTTTGGGAAAATTACCCCAAAAGAACGTCCGTAAGGTCAGGCCAATGCGTGACTCTTCCCAGTATCCACAGCGCACTCTTTCACCTGCCGTTTTGCATATAAGAATTCCGCTTCGTAGATGAGGCACTAATGTTTATTCGATTATTATGTGCAGCGTCCACATTTCATATCTCAGGCCTCAGATGGTGAGGCAGTACACTCACCCTATTATCCGTCCATGACCAAATCACCTGGAATGCACCCCATCGCGGTCGTATCTCGGAAGCTAAGCAGGTTTGAGCCTGGACAATGCATGGATGGGCAACCACCATGCATAAAACAGGTGTTGTACGCTCCTGCAGGGTTACTTCGTCAGCATAGGGCACTGCAAATAAATAATCTATTGTTGTACGCAGTGGGGGGGTGGCACGTGCCCCCCCCCCCCCCAATGATCCGATCGAAATCCCTAATTTCAATCGGATCATTGGGGTTTATTAGTAATAAATCGGCATTTTGCGACCCCCACTGCCACTGTGTAGCATATTATGTGCCAGGAACTCTATGAGATGATAGGACAATAGTCTGAGTCCATGATTGGCAATAAGTAACGGCAAAGCAGTTATAAGTGACTCACAGAATTGTGCGCAGTTGCGTATACAGCATACGACTTCCCTGAAGGCAAACACCTTCAGTGAGCGCGATGTCGATCACACACGGTTCGAATTCGACCCTCGATCGATGGCTGTACCATCGCCGCACACGCGTCGAATAAAAAGCAAGGGACAAGTCTTTACTTACTAACAACTCCTATCATTTCCATTGCTGGAGGGGTTGCCCCCACTACCTAAAAATCCTGGCTCCGCCATTGGTTGTACTGTGCATGCTCCAATACCTAGGCTCCCCAGCTTCAGCAACCCACAGTGACCAGCATGATGAAGGTTGGTCGGGTAACCCCCATGACCCGCAAGGCGTGGGGAGAGAGGCCCTCATCTTGCAGTGGACTGACAACAATGGATGTGAATTTACATGAGTCATAACTCACCTGTTTTAACTACATAGCGTTGGCAATACTGTCGTAGATTTATAGTGGTTCGTAGGTGGATGATCAATATTAATAAAGTGGGCACAGATTGCACGATGACTAATCTGTGACGAATAGAGTGAGAAGGGGTAATGCGTATGTAAATACATGAGTATCTGTGGAGGTGCCACATGAGCATTCTATAACCGCACACATTAACGCTCATTAATTGGCTGAAAACATCTTAATGTATGCGCCTCTGCGTTTGCAGATTGCAACCGCGTTGTGATGCAATTGCATAAATTACACTGTGTAAAAAGGATATGTTAATATCATTACTGTATTATTCTAAATAATGCCCTCTTATTGGCTAAATGTGGGTCGATGGCCCTTTCAACATTCACATCCCGGGCTTGAGTGCACGCTCGATTCCCATCGGGAGCGCATGCGGTGCGCGTTATCGCCACACACTCTGGGAGAGGAGCATTGCGCAACGTTACGGACTGCAGTATTTAACGTTTGTCGTTATTGTAAAAAAATATTTACTGGAATTTTAAATAACTTTCAATTATTATTTCACCACACTGTTAAAAAGCTATTAAAGTGTAATACAAAACATAGATTGCTGCTAGACCAGTGGTTCAGATGACCACAAAGGCTGTTGCCGATCTTAGCAAGAAAAACAATCTATTAATATTTCATATGTGATTGTGCATTGCGTAACTAAAGGAGGAGGCTTATTGAATGCATCAATTATTTTAATTACAGAGCTTTGGCTGCATTATATTTCTCGGCACGAAGCAAGCCGCGCTGGAAGAGGAATACGTGGCTGCAGTATTTGTAGGTGGCACAAGATGTGAAGCATAGTCATTGCAATGGCTCTGAAATTCCCTCAAGTCCACAATTTACACAGACGGACTTGCTGGAAATGTCCCCAATTCCCGGCACAATAAAAACCAATATAAACAAGCTCTGTGTATTGAATAGACGGCAACGACCTCATTAATAGATCATCAAAGTCAGCGGAGATCAATATAACGTGACTACAGCAACATTTATCTCTTGAAGGCTTTTTTTCAAGTCATTCTATTGCACTGTATTTTGTCAACAGTTAACTTTAGGATCTGGCAATGAATTGGTAATTTACTCCACCGTACTTATCCGTTGGCTAAAAAGACAAGTTTGTAATAAACCATTAGGCTTGAAACTTAATTGCATCCTAGTTAACGATTAAAATTGATTAAATACGTAATAGGACTGACATTAAAACATATACCATTACCATGGCTTCCAAAGACAAGTGGGTGTATGATTTTTGGTGATTCAACAAATTCTGTACATGCGTGTCTCGCTTAAAGAGCGTTCTTTCTACGAGAACCCGCTATGACGAGAAATTTGAATCTCGACCAATCTGTTCGCAAAACGAGCGAAATGTTCGCATAGCGATCGAAAGCCGATCGATGGAATGCGTTCTGCGGCGGCAGGGGGCCTGGAGCTGTTTGTTGACCAGCTCTCCCCCACACCGTGTCACACTGTGGAGGAGGGGGCCTGGTGGTGGCACTGTAATGGGTAGGTGGGAAGGAAGGGTGGAGGGGGGCCGGGTTATGGCATCATGCGACATTGGTGAGGTGTAGGAGAGGGAGCGATGACAGCAAGATGCGCGGGAGTGGTGAGGACAATGGGTTGATAAACGTCACGCGAAATTTGGGTGAGGCTGAGGCAGGGAGGTGATGCCATCACGCGACACTGGTGAGTTGGAGGAGAGCGCTGATAACGTTAAGAGACACTGGGGAGGTGATGAGAGGCGTAATGATGTCACGCGAGATTGGGGTGTGGGGTTCTAAGGGCGCGATGACGTCACGAGACGCGAGGGAGTGAATGGGAGTTATGATGTCACGAGACACGCTCGGAGTTCCGCTTAGAAACGGCAAGACCGCACGGATTGCCGATAAAAATGCAAATTAGAGGTATTACGTGAACTTCTTAGAAAATGTAGTGTGGCTTGGGAAAGATACATCGCTGTGTTTAATAGCTGGGTGATTCGACTGGTGACAGAACGGCAGCCAAAGGAGGAAACACACCAAACAAGATGCCCACCACAGAGATGGAACGATGGAATCAGTTCATGTGTAGGAGTGAAATGGATTGCGGTACAGCAGAGCCATGAGGGATGGCGACGGCGAGAAGAGGCCTTCACACAGCAATGGATAAACAACAGCTGGGCTGCTGGGGATTATGACGAAGACGTCATATGCGTGACGTTGCAGGCGTCACGCATGAGGCGCTTTGAATATATCCAGGGACAATAACGTGACATTTACCTAAACTGCAGCCACCCTGTGCGTCTGTGAAACACTGTCGCAACTGATGCCGTGATGCATTCGTGATGATTGTAAACACAATACAGTACTTGGAATTCTGACGCAAGAAATTATACACAAGGTGGATGACGCCACCCACAACTAGCATTACCTTGCCTCATCATTTATTGCACACACGTGCAATGGCGACAGAGAGTGATAAATTAAAACAAAACTGCAGTATCACATAGCAGGCCAAGTCACACCAACGTGGAGTGACAACCACATCACATGGTATGTGCTTGGAGCGTCTCACCTACGAATCCGTGGGGATGAGTTGGTGCAAGTGGTTTGTGAACTGCACTATGAACCTGACGATCCGAGTTCAATTCCCAACCGTGGCTAGCAAGCAGCGGCAAGACATTTTTACCGGACAATCACATTCGACATTTTGTTTGTAAATTTTCATCATAAATAATTATTGAGATTGATCAAAGTCCTTTTCAGTTCTTGTTTGTTTACTTGTACAAGATGGTCAGTGTGGATCAATCACTCAGGACTGGTTCAGAAATCATTCTCCACTGTTAGCCAAGGCTGAGAATGAAACACAGGAACGGTAGGTTAAGAGAAAAGAGCGCTAACCACTGTGCCACTATCCGTGAGCTTTCCACAAAAGGAGGATAAACATACATTCCACTCATCTTGTTCGGTTTCATTCAGATATCCTATTGCATGTTAACTATACAACCAAACACAAGAGAGCAGGATTTTAAGCGCTCCTGGCACTCAAGGACCACAGCGAGCCCCCACCCATGCCTTTGGCGGACCTTGAAACCAGACACTATAAAGTCCCCACAGACACCAACCACATGTATATGGAACTCCTAATTTAGAAATGTTTACCGAGTTGACACATTGTGGTGTGCGGCAAATCCCCAGCACAGCAGTGTATTCGAAGAAAAAAGTAATTATGGGGAAAGTGGTTTTAAAAAATGCTATTCTAATCAACTCAACTCTAAGGTAGTCAATAAAAAAGAACACATGATATTTTCATTTTATGAATAAGAATACATAATGAGCAGATTACATTTTGATTTAAAGCTTTCGTGACTGCAGGGATTCATATTCTTGGTTCTTTCGGTAAAGTCACGTAGAAGGGAAACAATAAAATAATACAAATATAAAACAATAAAATTGTCACGACGTTTCGACTGCAACACAAGCAATCATCATCAGGTGTGAAAAACACAGCAAGAAAATTTTGAAAAAAAAAATAACCGCCACTTTTTCAAATTTTCTTGCTGTGGTTTTCACACCTGATGATGATTGCTTGTGTTGCAGTCGAAACGTCGTGAGAATTTTATTGTTTTATATTTTTATAATTTTATTATTTCCCTTCTACGTGACTTTACCGAAAGAACCAAGAATATGATCAGATAACAGTTAAAGATGACAGCCATGTAACTTTTACTGTCATAATCGATGTAAGCAAAAACATATTTTAAATGGTAGAAATGTGTTGTGCGGGGTAACACGAAACCGGTGGGATGCATCAGCTTACCTGGCGGTCCCGAAAGCTTTGCTTTCTTTACTGAAAGACAAAAATACAAGAAAAAACATTACTGTGAGCAACAGCTCTATGAAGTTCCAATACATTTTTTGGAAAAAGCATTCATATGCATGGACATTATAACACGTCTTTGGAAATATTTAAGTAGCAAACGTGTTTTTGCCCTCACTGCCACGACACTGGAATATTTGCAACAACTCCAAATTCTGGTTTGCTTCTCGAAATTTGGGGCAACCCTTTGATAGATGTGTCTGATGTTCAACAGGGTAAGAAGCATAGAATTTTTATTATTTCACAATTGACAACTGACTTTATTATATTCTATAGGTAATCCATGATTCTAGCTTGCTATATTTGCTGCACAAACACAAGCGAACTGTCGTTAACAATGCTGGTGAGAAAAAAACCCGATGAACATATTGTATAATTAACTCCAAACCTGATTTTTTTAAAAAAAACAACCACCTCTTCACACAGAACATCAGGTGCAGGTAAAGCAGTCCTGTTTACCAAACGATATTTTCGTTCTATGGAGAACATCAATACTTTGTATCGCACCTCACAAAAGCAATGACCAAGTTAATAACTAAGGTACATGTAATGATTCCAAAGACATTACAGTGAGGGAAAAAAGTATTTGATCCCCTGCTAATTTTGTATGTTTGCCCACTGACAAAGAAATGATCAGTCTATAATTTTAATGGTAGGTTTATTTGAACAGTGAGAGACAGAATAACAACAACAAAATCCAGAAAAACGCATGTCAAAAATGTTATAAATTGATTTGCATTTTAATGAGGGAAATAAGTATTTGACCCCCTCTCAATCAGAAAGATTTCTGGCTCCCAGGTGTCTTTTATACAGGTAACGAGCTGAGATTAGGAGCACACTCTTAAAGGGAGTGCTCCTAATCTCAGCTTGTTACCTGTATAAAAGACACCTGTCCACAAGCAATCAATCAATCAAATTTCAAACTCTCTACCATGGCCAAGACCAAAGAGCTCTCCAAGGATGTCAGGGACAAGATTGTAGACCTACACAAGGCTGGAATGGGCTACAAGACCATTGCCAAGCAGCTTGGTGAGAAGGTGACAACAGTTGGTGCGATTATTCGCAAATGGAAGAAACACAAAACTGTCAATCTCCCTCGGCCTGGGGCTCCATGCAAGATCTCACCTCGTGGAGTTGCAATGACCATGAGAACAGTGAGGAATCTGCCCAGAACTACACGGGAGGATCTTGTCAATGATCAAGGCAGCTGGGACCATAGTCACCAAGAAAACAATTGGTAACACACTACGCCGTGAAGGACTGAAATCCTGCAGCGCCCGCAAGGTCCCTCTGCTCAAGAAAGCACATATACATGCCCGTCTAAAGTTTGCCAATGAACATCTGAATGATTCAGAGGACAACTGGGTGAAAGTGTTGTGGTCAGATGAGACCAAAATGGAGCTCTTTGGCATCAACTCAACTCGCCGTGTTTGGAGGAGGAGGAGGAGGAGGAATGTTGCCTATGACCCCAAGAACACCATCCCCACCGTCAAACATGGAGGTGGAAACATTATGCTTTGGGGGTGTTTTTCTGCTAAGGGGACAGGACAACTTCACCGCATCAAAGGGACGATGGACGGGGCCATGTACTGTCAAATCTTGGGTGAGAACCTCCTTCCCTCAGCCAGGGCATTGAAAATGGGTCGTGGATGGGTATTCCAGCATGACAATAACCCAAAACACACGGCCAAGGCAACAAAGGAGTGGCTCAAGAAGAAGCACATTAAGGTCCTGGAGTGGCCTAGCCAGTCTCCAGAACTTAATCCCATATAAAATTTGTGGAGGGAGCTGAAGGTTCGAGTTGCCAAACGTCAGCCTCGAAACCTTAATGACTTGGAGAAGATCTGCAAAGAGGAGTGGGATAAAATCCCTCCTGAGATGTGTGCAAACCTGGTGGCAAACTACAAGAAACGTCTGACCTCTGTGATTGCCAACAAGGGTTTTGCCACCAAGTACTAAGTCATGTTTTGCAGAGGGGTCAAATACTTATTTCCCTCATTAAAATGCAAATCAATTTATAACATTTTTGACATGCGTTTTTCTGGATTTTGTTGTTGTTATTCTGTCTCTCACTGTTCAAATAAACCTACCATTAAAATTATAGACTGATAATTTCTTTGTCAGTGGGCAGGGGATCAAATACTTTTTCCCCTCACTGTATACCCCACTTTAGCTTCAGGCCTTTGGCAATCCACTGTTGGATGAATGTGCTCCATTAATGTGCCGAAGCTCCCAGCATGTGCAGCTAAACATCAGACATGTCCAACAATTGATAACCCCCAAAAAATAACGTGTTCATAGGGGTCTTTTGACTATACTTCACCATGCTGGCCAGTAGGAAGTCATGAAGCGGTGGCCCAGGACCAGTTTCAATATCACTGACCACTGATGTTAGCCGTGGCTGGGAATCGACCGCAGGTCACCAAGTTCATTGTGCAGTGCACTACCCGCTGCACCACCACTCCGCCCTCACCAATCGACCTCAGCATAGGGTGTATAAAATATATATATAAATGTGGCCATTATTCAATATCGTAGAACTCTTCTTGTTCACAACATGAGCATCCATCATATCGTTTCAATCATTCAGCAAATATTGCTTACACAAACAGCTGCCTGAACTGAGGCGATACCACCAGCCACAGCGGCCCGCTCACCTCATCTATCCCCTCTGCATATCTCCGTGGGAAATTATAAGGGTGCAATAAAACCTGTGCAACGGGGAAGCGTATGCGACTTAGCAACGTGGGATGCTGAATGTGCGTGACCTGGCCCACCGCACCCAAACATCCAAGGGGCCAACTGGGTCCTTGATGTCCCTTTGTCTCAGGGGAATTTCAAGCCCAGGCAATGATACCTGTGCACTGGAGCCTCCAGTTATTACATAATGCATAATAATTTTGTATTAAAGGTATAACCAATACGTTGCCTCGGACCAAGTTATCCAGAACGTGACAAATCTGATCAGACCTTGAAAGCTAACCTGGATAGTGCTTGGATGGGGGGCTGCCACGCATAACAGGTGTTATAGGCTTCTGGAGTGCTAATGTTGTCAGCATAAGGCGGCGCAGCAAAGTTAATTGTTGTATTGCCCTATGCTCCAACGTCCATGCTCCCCACCTTCCAGAATGCCCAGCATGGTGACATTGTCAAATATCCCCCATGACCCACATGGTGTGGGAAGGCCATCATCCAGCAGTAGATAGAGGAAAGAGCTGTGCATGTAAAAGACCCTAAGTTAAAAGCATGAAACGCTCATGCCGCATCACACACAACGTACTGCGCGCGGCTTCGCAATACTGGAACGTCACACCAGGAATCCCCCGTAAAGTATTCAACGTACGATTCCGTTGGCCAAATATTTTAATGAGATATACATGGGAGACACGAGGCAAGCAAGCCCTCTGTACAAGGTGCAACATCGTTTTATTTATTTTCGGCCCGAAGATGCCCTATGCTGCATTACAGCAGAGGCATCACTGAAATGTGACAGGGCATAGAGACCTGCTGCAGTGCAGATGAAACTGCTGCCCATGCAATAAAGCAGGTGTGATGAAGTTTACACACCATCGTATATAAGACTTCTTATGTACATATAAAGCACGATATTCAGTTCGACATACATGGGGGTAAAAATAATTAAGGACGAATAGCCAAAATGTTGGTACTGCTTTGGCAGTGAAACAAATGACAATGGCCATACATTTATATTTACACACGACTAAAATTGATTCGCTTGTAAAATCAGATTAGTGTGGAATATATTGAGGGGAATGGTAATGTCAATAACTATGCTGCATGCTTTGCAGTCCTGATGAGTTGCCACATTTGCGAAAGACCTTTCTATACCCAACACAATGGGAGTTGAAATGGCAAACCAAGATTTCGCCACGTCTGCCATGAGCTTAAGAGATGAGAGTGGCTACTGAAAAATAGCCGGAGAGGTTTGTCTGGCACCTTCTTCTCCAATTCATTCCAACTAAATCACAGAATATACACTGATTCCGTAGCCAGCGTGTTAGAGGACGTGGTCACAAGTGTGTAGGCTGTTGGTGTTTCGTTCCAGTGTGTTAGTGTGCTGTGATGTGTGGCTAGCTTAGGACGATCGTTTACATTCTCTCTTACTTCGTTGCATTGGTAAAACAAATGATTACTTCCGGCACTACAATGTTAAGCAGGGTATTGTGAGGCACCCACCACAACAAGCTGTGCAGAGGTGGACTGCCACGGATCAAATTTTTGTTAAGGTTGGTCGTCTAAATGACGAAATGGCCACACGTGGCATTTCTTTTGAATTGGTGGTCTGCACAATGCTGAGAGCTTTCGTACCCAAGATGCTGTACAACGTCTGGGCGTCATTACATCTACACGCAGTGGTGTGCTGCACACACTACTACAAAGGAGGACCCTATCAGCATCAGTCTCCACGTGTTATTTGTACAGTGCTGTGTCTATATACATTAGCATAGGGGAGGAAGAGGGGAGAGCATGGGGGATAATGGAGGATGAGGTGAGGACAGTAAGGGATAGAGGAGGGGGGGCAACAGCATGAATTGGAAGGGGATAATGGCTTGGGTGAGGGGAGGGAGATGGAGGGGTGGTAGGGGGAGAACAGAAAATATAATGGAGGGTAAGGAGAAGGGATATTGCAAGGGATAATAGGGCGTGACGGGAGGGGTGGTGGTGGAAGCAGGCCGAGGGGCGGGTGGTGGTGGTGGTGTGTGCTGTAGAGTGGGACATTGGGAGGGATGGGGCGGTGGGTGGCTGGAGCAATGTCTCTCTAGGCTCCGATTCCCTCTAGCCTCCATGCTCCACGATGTTGTTAGACAGTGTGTGTGGGGAGCGGTGGTGTCGTGGTTAGCGCGCTGCGCTACCAACCCGGCGACCCGAGTTCGATTCCCGCTCACGGCGACCCGAGTTCGATTCCCGCTCACGGCCAACACCAATGACGGTTATCGGAACCGGTCCTG